GAAAGACGATGTGCAACAATAATAACAGTTCGTGATGGATTATCTTGCCGTGCAGCATTCAATGATTCTTCAACAAGCTAAAAAAAATTAGAAATAATACGAAAATTTTTGACTATTAATTGATTTCTACTTATTCAGTAGTGTCAAATTTCTCAACTCTCGATCATGTATTACATTATTAAGTTTCAACGAGATAGAAATAATATAAGATCTAATATTTTTTTCAGTTTGTATTTTATAAGAAATAGACAAGTAAATTTTATTTACCTTTTCATTATGTACATCCAACGCACTCGTTGCTTCATCAAGTAATAAAATTTTTGGATTACGAAAAAGAGCTCGTGCAATAGCAATACGCTGTTTTTGTCCTCCAGATAAAAATGAAGTTCCATTCAATCCTACAGCTGTATCATAACCCTAAAATTAAATAAAATAATCATTTTTGTTATTATAAACTAGCCTGTTTTCAAAGTTCAACAAGTCATATAGATAAAAATTTTTAGTTTTTAAAGTATGTAAAACGAGTGAAACATACCATTGGTAATGCTTCTATAAAATTATGACAATGAGCTCGTCTAGCTGCATTAATAATATCTTCATAAGTGAATGTGTGTGATGAACAGCCATATGATATATTTTCGCCAATAGTAAGACCCAACATAAGAGCTGGTTCTTGACTAATAAGACCAATTTGTGCTCGTAACCATGATAGATTCAAAGTTCGTATATCATGACCATCAAGTAACTATTAAAAAATCAATATTCAAAATCATGCATATATATATAATAACTCATGTGTTTTCTGATGTGAGGAAAAGAATTATTCAGTCATATCATTTTCCACGTAGTGTAGTGCGAATATACGACACATCTTTCTGTTTTAAGAATAAAGCTCATAAACGACTATTAAAGATAGCATTGAATTTGATCTAATACGAATATATCTTAAATCGATTTTTATATTGTTAGTTACTATGATGAAAATAGAGAAACCAATTACGTACCACACGTCCTTTATTATATTCGTAAAATCGTTCGAGTAATTGAGTTACAGTTGATTTACCACATCCACTTGAACCTAATATATATTAAATTGATCTTCAATTTAAATTTAAAATAGATTATCTTACCAATGAGCGCAACACTTTGACCTTAAATAGATACATCATATTAGAGAATGAACATAATTAATAATATAAATACTTACCAGGCTGTATTGTTAATTGAAAGCCATTGAGTATATTTATTAATTTACGTGTCGGATAAGAAAAAGTAATATTATCAAATTGGATCATCCCAGAAAAGTTCTCCTATTTATTATTATGAAAAAATCAATGACAATATTAAATTTCGTATTAACTCACAAGTTTTTTTCCATCTGTGGACATATTATCAATTAAAGGAGTTCGTTCAAGTAACTGATTGATATGTTTTGCTGCTGCTGTTGTTCCACCTAATTCCGATGAACTATTCGTAAAGGAATAGCAAAAATTAGTAGTACAAAAGATAATAGAAACTATGTATTAATCATACGTACACCATTGTTGATACTTGAATTACATCGAAAGTAAATGGTACAAAGGCAAATAACCTACAAATAAATAACAGATGTTTTTCTTAACATGCACATGGATGACTTACAAAACGATACGTTCTGGATCGATCTGATTGTTATTAAGCAGGACAATAGCTAATTCAGCAATACAAGGTAATACTAATGTCGCTATTGGAAAAGAAAATGCAAATGCTAGTGCACCTTTGAATATACTTGGGCGCATAACTCTAAAAAGAAATAAAAATACATAGTTGTAATTCCCTGTAGAATATAATTTACTTATATGTTTCATCGATGATATGTTCGAACTCAATTAACATTTGTTGTTGTCTATTGAGTTGAAAAACTGTACGAATATTGCGTACACTTTGTGTAATAAGTTCATTGGCATTTCCTAATATAGTTTCGACTTTTGTTTGTATTAAACTTTTTCGTCGAACATCCATAATGGCTGCGATCAATTCAAATGTAATTAAAGCGAAGACAACTAGGGTTAATTGCCAAGAAAAAATTAATCCAATAATAAGAGCAATGACCAGAAGTGATAGTGATTCAATCATTAAGCCAAGTCGAGCACTGGTTAACTAGAATTTAACAAATTATTCACATTTTTTCATCTGATGAGAATATTTCAAAGATTTAAATTTCGAAATAATACATACAGATTGAACGGCCAATGCATCTGTAGAAAGACGTGCACAGAGAGAACCAGTATTGTTTTCAGGCATATCGAACCAACCTATTTCTTGATGTAACATACATTCAAATGCTTTAGTTCGTATTCGATTCGTCAGTCGTCCACCAGCTACTGCGAGGCAAACGTACTTTCATAAATAAATAAAAAATAGATAATTATTTATTCGAACATAACCGACAAAGCTAGAACTAGTAATAACAGACAAATATTGTATCACTAAGACTATAGAAAATCATGTTTTATAGATATACTATATAATAATATACTATTTAAATAAAGTAAACATTAATGCATACGTGTATAATCTTCACTAAGCAAACGCCGATGCCTAAGAGAAATATAATGCGTGTAAAAGTAATGACTTCGTTCATTTGTTCTGAAAGTGTACATTCTTGAAATGACTATGTATTATAAATGTATAAATAATATTGAAAATATTCATTTTTTTATATTCTCACGCTGATAGTTTCGGCTAGACAATAAGCAAATGCTGGAGAAAATCCGCCAGAGATTATCCCAGATACACAAACGACTATTAAGTAAGGCCATTCAGGAGCATTTAATTTAAATAATTTAAATAACGAATGAAGTGAACCTGATTTATGCTATAAAGAGATACATATGAAATTTACAAATACAGATTTGCTAAGAAAAGAAAATTGACCTGTTCAACTTCAGGAAGTATTTCTTCAACTTTATTTGATATTTCATCATTGTCTCTTTGTTCGAGCTGAATATCTGCAAAAAAGAAATAGAATTTATATATTATCAGTAATCATGTTTCGATTCGCTTCGTTGAACAAGATATTATTACTGGTTATATAATTCAAATGAGATATTTTAGTCTATACTTACCATCGGTTGACTGTGTGTCATTTGTTTCTATCTTATCAATATCAACTTCTTCCAAATCTGTTGGCATCGTTGTATCAGAATGTACCATTTTCATCTGTTGTTTGGTAACTAATTCATAGTAAATATTTTTAGCTGCCATAAGATCATAATGTGAACCTTGTTCAGCAATTGAACCATCTTTCATAACTATTATCCAATCAGCATACCGAATTGTTGACAAACGATGTGCAACAATAAGAGTTGTTCGACCTACCACCATATGTATGACATAATTCAATTGAAAATTTCACAATAAATTACAATACCTTCTACAGCACGATCGAGCGCTTCCTGAACAAATTTTTCACTGGATGAATCTAGTGCACTTGTAGCTTCGTCAAGTAAAAGTAAACTAGGTTTACGTATGAGAGCACGTGCTAAAGCAATACGTTGTCGTTGACCACCACTTAACTGCACACCTCGTTCGCCAACTAATGTATCGTAAGCCTTATATGGAAAAAAAACGATAAATTCATTTTGATTACATTACAGAAATGAAAATAAAAATAGTATTTACTTTTGGAAGTTTCATAATGAAATCATGAGCATTAGATTGTTTAGCTACTTCAACAATTTCCTCGTATGTGGAATCCTGTTTACCATAACTAATATTATCTTTAATTGAAGTTGCAAAAAGGATCTAGAAATAAAAATACCAATTTTTATATTATTAAACAGTAGAAATATATATAAATTCATACTGGTTCTTGACTGACAAGACCTATGGTTTGACGTAAATTATTGATGTCATATTCTTGAATTTGATGTCCATTAATTTTAATATGACCATCAGTTGGATCATAGAAACGTAGTAAAAGCTGTATACATGTACTTTTACCTATATGGATTATAATAGAAAAATTTAAATTTATATTATTAATCTTACCACTGCCAGAACCACCTACGAATGCTACAGTTGAACCAGTCTTTACTCGAAATGAAGCATGTTCAAGTGCTAGTTTCTTGTTTCGACTTGGATATGAAAAAGAAACGTTTTCGAAAGTAATTTCTATTGGATCACCCGTTTGTAATTTGATTGAAGCTTTTGTAATCGGTGGTGTATTAGATATCGCTGGTAACGTTGTTGGCGATACTTCATCATAAATCTAGTAATAAAGAATACAAGAAATTAGTTCAGTCACAAGTTAATA